AAAATATTCATTTTAATATTATGTACATGTATCTGTCAGAAAAAAATCAAATGGTGTAAAGTAACATCACTTCGAGAAAGATCCGGTGGACATGGAAATTTCTTTCAATCAGAGGCATCTCTGAGAAAATTTGGCAGTAACAAGCCTCTTGTTCCAGCTATTGGTAACTTGGAATATCAGGAATTTACAATACCTGCTTTTGCATTTTGAAAAAACTCGACAATCAAGAAAAAAAATTGAAAATTTCGAGAAATACTGGCCCAGCTTTCAAAGAGTTCTAACCTATCCACATTTATACACAGCCGCCATTTTGACAGATTTTAAGTCTATCTAATGCACAGAATGCAAAATACTGATTATTTGGTAAACTAAATGATAACTTTTAGAAACCAACTTGAAGGGTAGCTGCAATCAACTTGTTTGAATACAAACCTTCAAAATGCATCCTCTTTTTCTCAGTTGACCTGATTTCTGACTTTCCTTTCAGTATTCCAAAGGGTAATTTACTGTCTTTTAGGTTTTTATGCTGATGAACATTTCCATATTCATAGTAAAAGTGTAACATCATCCCAGGAAGAAAGCCTCAATGTTGCATGGTTTGTACTCAAAAGAAGTCCTTTATTTTTGTAGATTTTGCAGGACACAAATTTCTCCTCTTTGCTGATTCATTGTTTTTGTTCATAGCAATAAGCAAACATTAATCCCTTTATCAGACTGGACTTCACGGCAATAGCGCCCTCAGTTGTCCAGGAAAGCTTGGATAATTTCAAGTGTTAAAAAGTTGCACTTTCCAATGTAACCAAACAGCAATGTAAAAACACATCAAACAAGCTTACAAAGTTCCCAAGAAATTGTTTTCCAACATATTGCATTGCAGCTATGCTTTAAAATAAGATTACTTCTTTTTCTAGAGACAAATATACACCCTTGATACAAAAGCCTTTTGCAAAATTTGCTTTTTCCTTTGGCTAAAAATATCTACATTGCAAGCCTGAAATCCTGTTTACTATGTTAGGACAACGCTGGATACTTTTTCT